TATATATATATATATATATATATATATATATATGGTTATAATATAAGACATATCAAATTTCATTACAATATTATTTTCAAGTCGCAAAGAAAGAAGGAAAGAAAGTTATTTGTTTAAAGGGAATATATAAAGTTATGGATATTTTAACTTTTTAAGGCTCAATATGCAGAGTTACATACAGAGCAGTACGCCGGATTGTCTGTTGTAGGAGCATGCGGAGGAGAGAATAAAAGCGCAAATTTGTATGGCGCGCTCTCATTCTCACACGCATGCTCTTATAACGGCAACTTGGCACACTGTTCTGTATGAGAGTGCAACATATAATAACGTATGTTAAAATTGGGCTTTCCTCCGAGCTTTATATAAAGATAAATAGTTTACTTTTGAAGTTTTAACAACGATGGGCGTTAACTGATAGCGAGAAGCATGATTTGTTTTTGTGCGCAGTTCTTTCCCTATCAGCGCGTAATATTATTTAATACTAAGTAATATTCTGGGCATATTCTTAGAATACTAGATGTAATTTTCTAATAATATTATTTAATATTATTGTAATATTATATATTTTTTAAATATTCAACTCTATGTATATATATAATATATATAATTGTAGTTTCTTATTACAAATGTATTGTAATACCAATTTTATTATATAAATAAAGTCGAAATAATTTTGTGTAAAAATACATTTTATACAAAAAAAATTAATAATTAGAATTAATTTTTTAAAAATATTCTGAACATTTTTTAATATTAAGAACATTTTTATAATATGCCAAAAATATCATGTAAAGTGGACATATAACATCAATAGAACATTCCTATAATATTAATAAATATTACATAACATTCTTAAAATAGTATAGGAATATTATTTTAATATTGAATGATATTCATTAATTCTATTTATACATTCATATCCTTTGAAAAACAAGTTATGTCTCTACCAAGTTACAAATTATGTCTCTACCATTCTAAGAATATTTTCCTGTAGAGAATATTTTCGATTAGTATTTCACGTGTTTTTCTTAATATTTGTACATTTACATTACATTTACATTGTCTTTCATTTAACAAAATCCTTACACTTTTGTGAGGGCCAAACTTATAAAATATATTAACGAGATCGAGTAGGTGAAAAAAAATTTACTTAAACTTATGTCCGAAAATGCTTTATTAAAAAGTTATAAACGTTCAAATATTGTTAATAATCAATATTTTAAATTAAAAATTTAACAATTACATTCGCCAAAATATTGTTCAATCGATTCTAGACTCAAAGTTATGGAATATTATCACTCAGGATCCTTTATAGAAAAGTATTTCTGCCTATGATAAATTGGTCGGTGATAAATTATGGTTGTCCAGTAATTTTATTATTCGTACGAATACTTTTCTGTAAGAGATATTATTTATATATATAAAAATGTGGTATTTATTGATGTTACATTGACTCAACATTGACCAATGTTTTTTCTTCAAAACGCTTGTATCACATTTTCGAATCAAATAATTTTTCGCTTTGAAAACTCAACTGAAAGACGAAGTTTGAAGTTGAACGGTCGCAATTTTTCGTTTAATTCGAAATATCTTGACGAAAATTAACGACAACATTAATATAGCTAATCTGTGTAAAAAAAAAAATAGAGACTTCAAGCTTTAAAGTGCTTCTTGAACAATCTCGATAGCATCATTATTGCGAAAGTTACAGCCTGTTGAATTTTGCCTATTTTGTTTTATTACAATGGAAAGTATGTCTGACCAACCCTTGAGTCATACTACTTAAGAAATAGAAAATACGCCCGACTCCATCGTTTTGTCATATCACGACCTCAGTTTCTCGTTAAGTATAGTGGAGTCTCGTAGCGGAGATTCTGGAACTAAATTACAAAAATAACGGGTTTACGGAATTATCAGACCCGTTATTTCTGTAATTTAGTTCCAGTATCTTCGCTACGAGTTGCCACTATATTTAACGAGAAACTGAGCTCCTCAAGGGTCAGTCAGACGTATTTTCCATTGTAACGAAACATAGGCGAAATTGAACAGACTAACTTTCGCAATAATGATGCTATCGAGATCGTTCAAGAAGCACTTTAAAGCTTGAATTCCGAAATATGAGAAACAAAAACCGTTCTGCGACCGTGTGAACGTCTAAATATCGAAGCTTGTCGCGCTTGACGCGTGTCGGATGCACATAAAAATAAAATAACGTAACATTATTCGCACTTACGTGCGACGATGCATCGGCCGTATTCAGGTGTGAATAACCTTTAAATATCCCGCTGTCGTTGCCAAGTCGTGTTTATCGTTCGTTCGCCATTTAATTGGTCTCCGATTTATATATATAGTTGACGATTCGGCGCCCGAGGAAGTATGCGCACGGTACTAATGTCGATAGCGCGAATAATCACGTAGACACGTCGCGTTTTTGGCGGTCGCAAAGTGGAAAGATCCCGAAACTCGTGCAGCGTTAAACGAAAGAAGAAAGCATGGTCTAGTCGATCCGGACACACACGACATCGCTCGATTTTTCGTATGATGCGTGAAATGATTGAAGTATCACGCACGATGACGGCGGCGACAACGACGTCGTAGAGCGACAAATTCGAATTCAGACCGTTATCCTTTTACTTTTCACTTTGCAATGCCTCCGAGCCGCTTAGACGCCGTTTATAGGAGCATACTGCTTACCAAATTCTTCACGAAAGGTTGGGGCAATCCTCAAAATTTGAAACGGTAAGTTGCTAACCTGATCCAACTTGATCCGAGCCAACGTCACTCGATGAATACTTCACGTCTTTAGATTCGCAGATAGATTTTGATTAACGTTATATGTGCGTAGATATTCGAGACCGTTCTTCGTTCCCTACGATGGTAAATAGATAAACAAGCAATTTATCTCATTAATACACACATAGTTTTGTACAATGCAAATCGAAGCAAAACTGTGTATATAAATAACATCAGAATGTATCTGCAGATTGACCTCTCATTGACTGTCTTACGGCTAATTTTACGTGTACACATATAAAGACAGTATTTGGATAATAACTACAGATACCTGTATTTGCCTTTATCCTAATATCACAATATCCCTTTGCTCAAGAATATTTTAATTTGTGATTGTTTAATTAATCGAGATATATAATATTTATTTTCTTTTGTTGCAGGATTTTTGAATTCAGAAAAGTCATAGCAAATCGAAAAACGTGCTACAATATGATACCGTTGGACTATCCAATAGAAATTACAAAGGTACTTGATATCTTCTTTAATATGGAGCTTACGAGTAGAGGAGATTGACATTTATATATTTTTGTATATTGTAGAATGAAGATTGGTCAGACTGTCATATCATTGAGGGACAGTTTGAATCACCTTTTGAGAAGCATCTTCCAGGAATAATGCCAGATAAGACCAAAACAGCTTACTTTCAAGTAATCTTACCATCCAAATGGAGTTCCCACAAGATAAAGCCAATTTGCTTGCATTTAGCAGGAACCGGAGATCATGTATGTTAATCGTTGTTTTATTGCAACATATTTTTTAACTTTTAATTCTCCTTAAAAACGACTATTAATACATAGCATAACAGTTCTTTTGCTCTAATCCATATATATTTACATATTTTACTTATTAACTAGTTTTTTTGGCGACGTAGAAATCTTATCGCTAGACCGCTGCTCAAAGAAGCAGGCATAGCATCAATATTGTTGGAGAATCCGTTTTACGGGCTGAGAAAGCCGGACGATCAAATGTAAGAACTTAAATGGAAGGTTTGTACGGGATAATACTACACGATTATTTAAGATCTCGCAGTTTCCACCTTGACCATATTATGTTCCGATCAGACGTTCTAGCTTGCATAATGTATGTGACATTTTTATCATGGGTGGCTGTCTGATAATGGAATCGATCGTTTTGTTAAACTGGTGTGAGCAACAGGGATTCGGGCCACTGGGTCTCACTGGATTGTCAATGGGTGGACATGTTAGTTGGTTTGTACGAGACTCTTCTATAGGCCGTGTTGTCTGAAAACATGTTCTTTCTATAGATGGCTTCTTTAGCAGCTACCAATTGGCCGAAGCCGATATCATTAGTACCTTGCTTATCATGGTCCACAGCTTCACCTGTATTTACGGAGGGCGTTATGAGCGCCTCGATAAATTGGGCACTCTTGGAGAACCAGTATTTTTCGGACAAAGTGTACAAAAATGATCTGGCAAAAATGGTCAAGATTGTAGACCGCGATGTAAGCATCTCACTGTGAAAACACAGTGTGTTTTTGTACATATTTCTTATGTCTCTTTTAAACACATTTCTTTTGAACAATTCCAGGATGCTTTCTTAGCTGGTCAACATTTCGCGAAACATTACCCTGCCAGTATGAACAGAGTGGATAAGTTGAGAAGAGAATCCAATGGGAGCAACAGGGATAATACTCGTACCGTAGTCGATGCGAATAGTACAAACTCTATTAATAACATCAGCGACAATAATATTTTCGAAAGTGGACCTAAAAATGCAAATAATCAGTTGCAACGTCAAATTGCGGAGGAAAAAGCGGCGGCCAAGATATTTCCCTTAAATCTCATATCTAACAGATTTAAATCGAAGGATCTCAACGTCCTCAAGGGTAAGTCAAACTCGCGTAAGTTAACTCGCATTGCCTTGCATGCAATACATTTACAGTTTGTCGTAGTTTCGCATAAAGGGACGCGTCCAGTGTCAAATTAATGTCTCGGTTCTCATTTTCTAGCCGTGTAATTACAGACGTGCTTGTCTTATCCTTTGTCTTGTAATTGAATTATCCTAGACGGCATATAAGCATGCTTTTTATGGGACCTGTTCTTTCCGTGACAGGAGTTTGCTTGTTGCCAGTGCCGAAGCATCCGCTGTTTTCAGACAACAAGTGGCGCGAGCACGAAGCGTTGCAGTTTATGCGCGGCATAATGGACGAATGCACGCACCTGAAGAATTTCGAAGTGCCAATTGACACCGAATTGATCATCGCCGTATGCGCCAAAGATGATGCGTATGTGCCGCGAGATCATTGCATGAGCCTCGAGACGATATGGCCCGGAATTGAGATACGTTATATCGATGCTGGTCACGTCAGCGCCTATATTCTTCATCAGAAAGTTTTTAGGTACATATTCTTCGAAAAAATCTATCGAAATTTATATATAATATTTATAATGATTTCTTTATTTTAACGAGATAATCTTTCACGCCTCTTTTATCCGTCTTATTTACATCAGAGTTATAAGAAGTAATATGTCATTTTTGCAACGGGCAGTAATTAATTGTAATATATTCGAGGAAGTGATTTCTCGTGAAACGATTAATCGGAAACGCGCGTAGAGAGTGAAATATCACACAAGAATTCGTTCTCGAGAAAATCGATTTTGAAATGTGGAATGTTAGTAATATTTTCGTAATATATTTGAGGCTTTCGCAGGGAGATGCTAGGTTTGGCTTCCGGGTTGAAGCCACGTTTCTGTTATCAGGAGCAAACTTGCTGAAACTCGGAGAAACTTCAGCAAAAATTTCACGTTACTCTATTCCCTGAAGAAGAGAAATGAACTGTTCGCGTCGAAACTGTCAACGTCGAAATCAAATTCACAAAATACGCGGCTCCAACGCGGAAGCCAAACCTATTCTTTTCTTTTATTTTTTCTTCAACTTTGCATAATTTTTTACTAATAATTCTGTTAGTGATAAATTAATTTTCAACAATCTCGTGTAATATATAATTGTATCTTATTTTAGATCCACTATAGCTGAATCTATTCAACGATCTTTGAAGAAATATCCCGTTGAGATCAGTTGACAACTTTGTGATATCACAACGGATGCACACGTTAGAAAACCGCACATTATTATAAATTTAATTAGGTGACCCAATACTCTTGTCGAATTTGTGATAGACTTCGGATGCTCATTATTAAGGATCTTCGCACACCACACACGCACGATCTATTTTTAGATCGCTGCAGACGACAATCTGCCATAAAAAGAGAGTACAACAATAACAGTCAATTTTATCAGGTACAATAATAGGTGTCGTTATCGTTAGTACGTTCAAGTACGAGCCATTAATGTTCCTAAAATAACATCGCAATATATTTGGCATAGCGAGTATAAGATTTCTTGGTGTACATCTGTTTGCACAGTTTTTATATACATATGTTTTTTATATATCATGTGCATATAAAACATATACACACACACACATATATATATATATATACATATACATGTGTATATTTTTACATACATATGTTTTTACATATATATGGTTACAACATTACGCATATTTACAGAGATTTATATGTTATTTTAATAAAATTGCATTTGTTCAAATATATATTTGCAGATCTCGGATAATCATGTGTTACTGTATAACACTTGTATAGTGAAAAATAAATTGCTAAAAGAATAACAACACTCACTATATAATTCTTGTTCTATATATTGTATATGATGTATAGTGATTATGTATTACACAAGTACAATAAGCGCATATTGCAACAACACAATAATACGGCCATGTACAAATTGTGTAAGAACGAAATAAAAGTCGCATTTATACTTCATGTCGACGCAACTTTAGAAAATAGCCCGAAGGTTCGTCCCCTCCTGTCGATTGGTATCACGAATAGATACGATTTGGAAGAATCCAATGTTCTCTCGGATCGTTCGAGTGCCTTCGTCCGCCGGTTGAATTTCGCGCGTTCCCACGATTCTCGAAGTAGGAAGTCGCGCGGAAGCGGCGCCGCCATCTACCGAGCGGTCGAGGCGATCGATGAAACCGGAAGCCGGGCGGCCCGTTCTCGCGTACAGATGCCTCGCCAGCGTTGGCCACAGTAGGCCACATGTGTCTCGCGCACCGCTTTCCCGTGGAAAAGGCTCTCGCCGAAAATGCGCCGTGTTTACGTAATCGCGAGCGGTAACGCGATGTCAGGCCGGTTCTCGTAGACGCGCGCCATTCGTTGTGAGCACCGTACGCATTCGCATTGGACACAAAGCTAAACGCGCCGTGTCGCGGGTTTAGTAGCAGCGGCCGCCGAGAAAAACCGGACCGTGTGGCAGCCTGTGTGTGCGCGCCCCGTTGTCCGCTACCAGCGCTCTCGCGGTGAGTCCTCACGGGCGTATGCTGGCGCAAGACGGTACGCAGTTTCGATCGTATCGCGAGCTCGCGCCGGTCGCTCGTCAATATCGCCGCTAAAGCGCCGAGTCAGCGCGCCTAACCCATACGCCGAGCACGAGGCGCGCGCGCGCCTCGTCGCGATTTTCGCCGCGGCGATCGAACGTGGGCCGAGCGTCGCGTAGCGCCTCAGCGTAATTGTTCATTCGGTGTAGCGCGGCCGCGTGTTCGCAGTGCAGACACTGCGCGCGCCCGCTTCAGAGAGGGAGAAGCCGTCGCCGACCCTGTACTGTCTCCTGAAGTCTTCTTCTTCCTCGGCGCATTCCCATTCGCATGCGAGAGAGAGTCGACATGAGGGATCTCCGTGCCCCGAGATTGTGAAGTGGAGGTTACGTCTGCGTGAATTAGGCGCGCGTGCGTGCGTGCGAGCGTCCCTCGACTCCCCCGCGGACGCGTTTCTCGCGTACCGAGCGCGCGCGCAACGTGCGACCTCGTGTTTTTGTCCTCACGGTAGTGCACCTCGTGTGCCAGCAAGATGGCGGCCAAGGTAGCCAGTGGCGCGCAGGGCGGTAGCGAGCGGCCGGAAGGCCCCGGTCAGTCCTATGCCAGCGTGCTGAACCCGAAGAGCGGCATCGAGAGCCGAGCGAATACCTGCACGGGCAACAACAAAGAGAACATGGGCGGCCAGTCGGTCAACCAGGCAACGACGGCGCTGCAACACCAGCGACAGTTACATCATGGTCAGCAACAGCAGACGACAGCTGTGCAGAAGGAGCAGAACGCGCCGTCGAACATAGTGAAGGGCAAGCCCTACCAGAGAGCCGGCCAGCCGACGGCCCAGTCTACGGCCAAGTGTTCGGACAAACGTTTCCGCAGTGACAGCCCGTCGAACGTGTCGTGGAGTGTTCTCGTCGACATGGAGCTCGGCGTCCGTAAGGAGGCGCTGACCGCGTCGCCGCGTCGCGACAATGACGTCGACCGGCAGTTGAACAACGGCGACGTGGGCAGTGACGGCGAGTTCCAAACGGTCGCGCCGAAGAGCGCTCGGCGCAAGGAGAAGTTGCGCGAGCAGCATCAGCGAGACCATCACCGGGAACGTCATCGGTTGCGCGACAACAACAGCCGGCACCAAGCACGTGGTGGCGTCGGTAGGGGCGGCAGCAATGAGAGGGCGCACAAGGAACAACGTGGTGATCGTAACGTCGCCTTCGTCGTCACTGCCGCCGCCGCTTCCACCACCACTGCCACCGAGCACGGTCCGAGGGAGATTCATCGGGCGGACGATCAGGATGCCGAGACCGAGGCGCAATCCGTACCCCCACCACCCCCCATCAAATACGTCGAAGCGCCGTTGCCTGCGGTGAATCCCTGGACGAGGAGCAGAACGTTGACGACGTTGCAAAACGCCACAATGCCGGCTTCCACCAGCGTCGTCCCCGTGGCACCCGTGCCGGTCGACAGACAAAGCGAGAGGGAGAAAAGGGTGTTGCAGCCGCAGCAGCAGCAGGGAGCGACCACCGGTGAGTTTGAACAATCGCAGTCGACGAAGAGTCCATCTCGTGTTTCTAAATCCGTGCCTTTAGCACGAGTCTACGAGTTTACCACAATAGTTGGGGTAAACTTTTAACCTTTTGTTTCGAGTATTAAATTATAACGTCATTCTCGGCGAAAAATGTTCCCAGCGCTGCCAAATGTCGCAATTCTGGAGATTTCAACGTTATTACACGCCTTTTCAGAAATTATATTTTGCTACTTAGAACGAGAGACCACAAGTTTATTACATTTGTTGTATAGATTCGTACTTAAGGATGTGTTACTCATAATTCAATGAGAAAATTATAAAAAAACTACAAATTGATCTACATGCATTTCATTGCATTTCAAATGACATCAAAAATTTGACAATACTTTAGGTAAAAAATTATCCCACTTTAAAAGAAGCTGTAAGATGAAGTGAGTTTAATAAGAATCCGATAAAACTTACACTGAAAATATCAGTTATTTGAAATTCTTTAGGAGAAAATTTCTCGTCTTGTGACAAAGCATTCAGGAAGCAATATGTTAAATAGGAATTGGTTTCGCATGCACAAGGACAGACCTAGGAACAAAGACTGTGTTTCCGCTTTGAAAAAATGCGAAGTTTTGTTCAGCGAATCGTCGAGAAATGCTGAGAAGGTTCTCAAGCTTATGAAAGGAAAGTCTAGATGCTAGGTTATTAGGATACTAGGATTTTTACTACCTGCGAGAATCGCAGCTTACAAAGCGGTCACTTACAAAGACCCGGCGTAACACTTCTAACTGTTAAAATACAGGAAAGTTGAAAGATAGATTTTATAACTTAAACTCGAAAAACTTGAATCGCCAAAAAAGTATAAGATAGAAATTTTCGTACGCAGAAGTAAACACGATAGCCTTAACATGTGGTAACTATGATCTTCTATCGTACGATTGCCAGTTTGTACAGGCCACGTGTTAAATTATTATTCTGGTCTTTGTATAAAAGTTTCTACCATTTATTTTTCTCCGTTAATTTGAGTTTCTTGAACCCGAGCTGTAAATTCTGTTCTAAAGTTAGAAAAAAAAAACGCTTGTCTAAAAAATTTATATACTTGATAATTTTACGATATTGTATCATTTGTTAAGAAATTTTGAAGCTTAGCTATTCTATCGTAGTGATGATACAACGTTTAAATAATTCCTTTCTTTGTTTAAATCACGGCAACAATAAATATAATTTCAGAAGGTTTTACGAATCGCCTTGTACTCTGTTCCATAGTTGCGAAATAGTCTTATCATCGTTCTCCAAACTTTCCGACAGCAAGGATGCTCCGATAACGCTTATATAATTATTAATTTGTTGTGTGCATCTATGGAAATATCTTGTTCCATTACGCGCTGTCATTCGTTCGATGTGCTTCGTCGAAATTCAAGAAATGGTGTCGGGATTCGATTTCACGAGATACTTCCTATAAATAGATCGTCTGCTCTTCGATATTAAATATCTTCATGATCTTTGAAACTTTAACATGAACTTCATATTCAATTGAACGAGAAACGAGCTGTTGTGTTGTTCCATTTACATCCGTAAATTTCTATTCATCGAAACTCTCGAATTTTTCTAGTCGTTTGAAGCCGAAAAAAATTTGACGTACATCGACATTTTATCGGATTATTCAGATTATATCTTTATCTGCGGACCAAATTAAGGGAGATGATTCTGGTACATCATATTGTGCTCGTCACATATCGTTAGATCGTAATGTTATATTAGAACATATTTAAGATTACGAAGTATCTACGCGACAGACATCCATGCGGGAGGTCTGTATCGGATGAAGAGGTACGTGTTACGAAACGAGGCATCAAAATAGAACGTGCAGAGTGTGCGAGCGCTGAAAAATGGGAGAAAAGAAGAAACTCAAAATTCATTTAACGACGATAACGCAAATCTCGCTACCTATCTCAGGATATTTGATAATTATTCAAGATGTAGATATATAAATTCGTGGAACATCGTCGCATCGTTGAAAAGGAGAAATCCAAGTCCCGGCACGTATCGATACTTGGGCTGTTCGATAATCGCGATAATAAAAACGACAAACGCAGCGTGAGCAACCGACCGGTAAACCTTATCTTCTTACTGCTAACACGTCTCAGATATACGTGGCACTGAAATGTCCATGTGGCATAGCGAGATCGACATGTCTTCGACGATCGATTTACATATTAAGAAATTCAAATCGCTTTTTGCGAAGCGAATCAACTTTTTGGTATTTTTTTCTTGTTCCTCTTCTGCTACGAAGCATTTGTTTACTAGTGGAATAACTTTTCATCCGGGCTCTGATTTATCGTCAAACTTTTCTTGTCGCTTTTAAACGCTTTTAAATTTTTAGGTCACTTTATAATTTTCCCATAATATTTTTATTATTTTGACTAATGGGCAGTATATTCTTAACATTTATGCTTATAAATATTTCTAATACATGACATTCTCCGGTATCCCCCGAGTCGTTGAAAAAACGCCGGAAAAGTTTAATACATGGCTCCCTTTCTTTTTTCTCTAACCGTAATTTCTAGCCTCGTTCTCGCTATTTTGACGCGAAGTGGCGAGGTCAGAGGGAAGCCGCTCTCCCCGACGTTGTTATCAAGCATGTGACGGCGTCGGTATTTTCGTCGCGACCGTCGATTCTGTGGTGTCCGGGCGTGAGACCCGTCGTCGAATCTGCGAGTCGTCGCGATTACGACGCGAGTATGCAATTGATCCATTTGTCGCACTGATCGCATACGGGACGCGAGCGTCACGGGGGAGAACGCAACGAGCGAGGGCAACGACATTGACACTCTTTCCTTGGCGCGGCGTAGACGCCGCGAGTTACGAGGGTATCCTCTAGTATGACGCGCACCGTCTTACTTAATAGTCCGTTCGATCGAACGAACGTTCACTTTCGTTCGAGGAATCGGCACGCGCAATTGCGAACTTTCGATTTAACCGTCAATTCCGACGTAGTAAGCGGACCCTCGCGCCTTCTTAATGGGCAAATCTCTCCCGAATACGAACAAGCTCTCGACGAATTCTCCGGGAAATCTTTTTCTTTTTTTTTCTTTGTTTGGAGTCAGTGTCGGCATCAGCGTGAATCGTTACTGGCCTCAACCCAAGTTCTTGGAACTTTTATCTTAGAACCCTGTTTATTTTTCATTGTTTCGGTTCCGGTGTCCTATATCTGGATAAATGTTACTAGATTATCTAACCCGTTGAACGTTAGGCCTATTCTTTTCAATTGTGAACGAGGTTGCATTTTTTATTTGCAACCTTCAAAGCGAAACAAGTCTATAATCGAACATTGAAGGGAAAGGGAACGGAGTTCTAGTGCAGCTGACAAGAACAAGCCTATCGTAAATTCCAAGCATGACAAGTATTATAATCCCCTACTAGATTGCAAGAAATGCAACTCTCACGGATATAACCTCGATAAAAATTATCCAACTTTCCATAGATACTAAGAAAGAGTTCTGCATGGAAAAATTTAGTACCAATTCAAAACGCATATATAAACAAGAATATATAATCTTACATGAAGATAAAATACTTGCTCTTACGAAATTCTATATAGTTCCACCAAAGATGTCGTATTTTTGTTATTCAAGAATAATTTTTACGAATTGAGAAGAAAAAGTGTTGGATATAGAAAGAACGATAGCAAATTCAGATACAATTCTTAGTTTATATATATCGGTTTTTCTATCCAATATTTTTTCAATTCATGAAAATTATTCTTGAGTAACATGAATTTTAATGGAATTATAAAATTTCTTCATGTATGAGGGCAAGTTTTATCTTAACGTAAAATTTATATATTCTTGCTTCTATGAATGAAAATATGAGTCTTGAATTGATACTAATTATTTCTTGTATACGTCCAACTCGGTTTCCATTCGACCAAATGAGCTTATTAAAGCACCCGTCACAGAATCCCGAGTCATAATCCTTTTTATTCCATGCATTTAATATTACGTCGCGACACGCTCTCACTCGTAACAAAATGCGCGTGTTCTTCAATGATGATACGTGTCCTTCGTGAAGTTTGTTTTCATCGGCATCGAGAGGTTGGCCGCGATCGTGGCAGACCTTTCAGCCAATCTTCTTATCTCGAGAATAATTTCTAATAATTCATTCTTATGTTGCTAACTGTTTGTTGATTATGTTTCAGGGACTTCCGCTTTTCACGGTCATCTTTTTCCTTACTCCAAATGTTCAAATTTCAAGATCCATAATCCAATGTTCCTATTCATCTCTAATCCGCGTTTTTTCCGTGGATTCTCTTTAATCTCTGTTATCGAAGGATTTTTCTGTATTCGAAGAATTCTCTATGCCTGTATGAGAATCGCGTTCATGAGATGAGATTCGTTGATTAAACGCGTTCAACCTTAAGTGTGTGAGCGCGAGAAGGTTGGGCCTTGGATCTTACCGCAATTGACCAATCTTGCCGACGCGTTCGATCCACATTAAAATATGTCGCAGAAAGTGAGAGTCACGAGAAGGGAAACCTGTTTTCGCACGGCCGGGCTGCCGCGATAGGAGTTAGAACGTTCGACCGGTAAATATCTTTCGCGTACGGCCGACTCTCGAGTCGCTAAAACAGCGTTTTCCAATACGATCGCGCGAGATGCTGTATTGTACGTCGGTGATAATCCGGCCAATTGTGCGTCTTGATGTGGAGGGTCGATATTTATTTATTTATTTATTTATTCATCCATTGTATTTTGCGGAAAATCATCCCTTTAATATGTCGAACGTAATCATACATATCATCAAAGAAAAAAAGAGAGTGTGGAAAAGAAACATATAAATATATATTATAAAGATAACGTTTGAAATGATTGAATGTACTATAAAGTATGCGGTGCACTTTTACGCAAAAAATGATGAGAACCTTCTAAGAAATCTCCCAAGTATCAAGTGCAAATACTTGCAATAATTCTGGGTGATCAGCTAGGCCTCTCAGAATATCATTCATAACGCGATTCACCTTTCGTGTTATGTCATACGATTCAGTCACAATCGCGAGTGGCGATGACACTATGCCTAGAAATATGTCGTAACGTTGCACGATCCTTTCGTCCGTCGATTCCCTCTTATTTTCATACACGTGATATAAACATATGCCTTATCTCTCCCATATCCGCATACTTTTTGAAAGAAACACACATTTACACGGATGTTTTATTTTCATCTCTTTCATATTTACTTAATGAACGACTCGAGTAAGCGGGCGGAGAAACCTGAAAAGAAGCGGTCCGCCGTGGCGATAATAAATGTACGAATTTGCAATTTTAAATACTTTTGAAAGTTTTCCGAAAGTAATAAAATTCAAAGTATCAAACCGTTTGATATCGACGCGATCGCGTCAAAGGCTTTGACCGGGAAAGTACTTCGACATTCGATAATTGCCGACGCCGAAGAAATAATTTCGCGAGCTTGCGCAAATACACAAATCCCACTCGACTGATAGTGTTTGTTTACAACTAAATATATACAGTAAGATATTGCCAAACGGTTCTAAGTATGAATTGACACTTTCGGTCGAGCAGAAACGATATTGCATCATTTGACAACGTCACACACGTTGCTTGGTTACTAATTGATCAAACTACTGGGATACTTTCCACGCCCTGCGATATCGAGCAAGCCGTTGCGAAGAGTTCCCGATTGTTCGTATCATCCTTCTAATTACTAATTTGTGTAATATGAATCCGCCGAGTTTTCGTCCGGTGATAGTTAAGTAAATAAAAGTCACGATTAACTGGCCTACACAATTTTATTTACGTACTTACGTCGCCGAAGCGAAAACTTTTTTCTTTTTAGTCATTTTTGCAGCTTTGAGAAGTTATTCCTTCCGGGAATAAATTATTTTCGCTTCAGACGGGAAAAATTTGTCACGGTACAACAATTGCGCTTACATCCTGTACACCTGTTGTACCTCGCGTAAGTTCGGGACACAGCCGCATCGTACTTCGTGCGCAAGGCAATTGAAAGTAATCTCGTTTTATGCCGTTTCGAGCGGCTCTGTCGTCGCCGTCGCCACAGCCGCTGAATCACTTCTCAAGTCAGTCGGTTCTCAGTGGCTCGTCGACGCTCGAATCACGACTTCAGTATCGATCGTGGTATTAAACGCAGCTTGTGACCGTGGAATTTTATGCATGATGTGTTAACAAACGAATCGAAGTTTAGTTCGCGTCAACGGAATTTTCGAGTAACGCCACGACCGCGCGATTTCGTTGCAGTTTCGATTAACCAGGAAATGACCGTACGGTGACTTCGCTTCCCTCTCTGAAAAATCGACGACTTGGACGACTGAAAATCGTCGTTAAGGTAGTTGGTCCGTGACGATGTAATACTGTTAGAAAAATAATAGTTAATACAACACGAAAAAGCTCGAGAAATTGTAATTTTTTCATAATATTTTTGCAAATCTTTTATCGTTTTTTTCATTTTGTATTAAAACCATAAAAGTAGTTTTATTAGAATTAAAAACATAATATCCAAAGTCGTTTTTATATCTGTGATATAGATAATGCTTACTTTGACTTCAATTATTTCCGCTTCGGTAGCTCGATTTTTGTCTAATTTTACATGTGTGCAGAGCGTGTTTCGATTGATATGCTGTTGAAATTTGCAAAGATCTCTCGGAAAATGCATTTACGGATCAACTACCTTAATTAAGCGATATATTCGAAAAACTCGCGACTAGGCGGGTTGGTATCGCACTCTGATAACTATTCGACAACGTGTTGGACACGATCGCCGCGCAGGGATTGCGTCTCGCTTTTTCGGCATGTGTGAGGCTGTGAAATTTTCGTCCGCGTAAAACCAACCGCGTTTGTTTCGCGGTATCCTCGACGCTGACGCGATTAAAACCACAGATTTAATTAGACTGGAACTCGCACACGAGGCGGAACGAATCGGATTATTGGATCTACCGTCACAACGAGAAGTCGCGCGCGTTCGCAGGATGAAGATAGACGAAAACGATGTCGTTAAACGTGAGTTGGCTTGATCGCTGTTGTCTCATTATGCACGCCGTAAATACGTAATGCAAGCCCGGCGATGTCGAAGTGTGTGCCGCTTTTAGTTGCAGGCAAATAAACAATAATTTCTGTTAACGTTCACCGTACAACAGGTACGTAACAACGAGACCCCGTTCTTGTACGAGTCGCTCCTCGTTGATGTTTTAATTGGATTCTCCGTTATCGCTCGTTAGGCTGCTTATGACATTATCATCTGTCACAGGTTGTGTCACAGAAGCAATGAGTGTTATCTGCGAAAATATCGCATATTCGAGTTTTACGGCGACAAGTGTACGTTATCGCCTTCTCGAATTCCCCGTGTGTTGCCCTTTCTTTCGGCAATTAACTGCGGTAACATCCGCGTCACGATCGGGACACTTACGTGAGATCACTTCGCACTTGGCGATTGTTGATTATCACATCTCGTGTGCATTATCATGTTCTGGTCGAGCGGTGTGAAATCAGCCATCCCTGAAATTACGCGTTGCAACGCAGTCGTGAAATGTTTAATCCAGCGGCAAACGCTGGCAAATCTCGTTTCTTGTCTTCGTATGTTACCTGGTTAGCGGGTTCTAATCGCGTTCGCTCTTTCGTTGTTTATTGTTTTCGATCACCCACGATCGCCGGCTCGTCGTGCGTTCGGTCGCAGGGCAATGTGCCACGATTATATTATTCCGGCTTCAGTGTCCTCCGAGGCTCTCTTGGCACCGAGACAAGATCGGAGCAGCGATTCGCCGTCGGTTGATGAAGCGATCCAAACTCTAATCGAGATTGCGAAATTCGCTCACGTCTCGCACAGTTTCTCACTCTTAATTACAGCATTCGTCTCGACTCTCTCCCGCACGTGGCAGAACTGAAGAAGCGAACTTCGAGTCGCGTCGAGTCGGTGAAAAGCAGAAAGAACCACGAAGGAACAACTCGGAAGTAGCAAACGAAAAATCCAAAGCCGCTTCGCGCCTCGACGGATATTTTTTATCTGTTGCTTTTGTTGAATTCAAAAATAGCAATATACTCATGGTGAATACACAGGATGTGTATGTGACTTTTCTCTTTATTGGAAGATGGAAAATAAGGAAGAAAATATGAATATTACAGAAATTATTCAAATTGACGTGCTTTCGGCATATTAATATATAATATGGTGTGATCTAAAATGGATTGAATAACAAAGTACATCATAATTGTTTCATATTTGTTCACATGCGTTATTAATACGATGTATTAATTCAGCTTAGGTATGAATTTTCCCTTCATAGTCTTTTAATCTTTGTGAATTTTTCTTACTTTCCATTCTTAATAGAAATATATTACAAAAAAATTGTGCCGCCATTTATAAATTTGAAACATTTGTAGATGGATAACCGCTCCGAACTGGATCCGTGTTTATATTTTTTTTTTATTTCACTTTTATTTTTCACTTCTATTTATATTAGAAACATGTTCCTTAAGTTTGTACAATATATCATGTAACACCGTGTACATAACTTAAAAGAATGTACATATAAAAGTTTTCTAATCTCTTTACGAGTCCTTGGGGAATTTAAATATACATATATCGGTAGTGTTGTCGGTGTATGGTATTCGTCGGTCGTAAAAACTCATGAACAGATAAAAAAGTATAAGATAAGAGGAATAATGAGTAATAAAATGGTGCGAAATCGCGATTTTGGGAGAGAACACACGCGGAGTGGCGGAAACACGACGAAACGGCGATGTTAATATTAATATTATATTAATAATATTAATATTAACATCGCCGTTTCGATTATAATATAATATTAATATTATATTAATAATATTAATATTATAATTATAGTTTTATCACTGTATTTTATATAGACGTGGCGTACAATTTATTGCTTCGCTTTTCACGACTCGCGAATTATTCGCATATCGTTTATAATTTTTACTACAACGACGACCTTGCCGCTTCAGTTACGATGAGGAGTGAGTGTTACGTGCTTCCTGAAACGTGTCTTTTAAAAAACAATTACTACGAGAGCTTTACTCGCAAGCGCAATAATTCACGATGTATGATCGGTCGCAAAAAGGTTGCAACACTTTTTATTATAAGTTTCGGAACGTTTCCGGAGATACATTTTCCTACTAGATACGAAATGCGTTGCAAAACTCGCCGGAAAAAAAGAAAGTGTTGCAACCTTTTTGCGACTGATCATACAGTCGTTATAATCGCAGGAGCAATCGAGAAATATTTTCGGGAGAAAGAAAACACGCTTGGGAGATTACCGATATCTTTCAGTGCGCGCGCTCTTGGATGATACGGTGGTAAATTGCGTGAGCGAGTTTTTGTCCTAAGCTTTTTCGCTCGTTTTCGTGTATTCACTACATTTCCCCTCTTCAATTTCACGTATCGGATGTTACAGATAAAAATATTCGTGAAACGCACGCATGTCTGCGACCGAGATAATCGAGGTCATGCGGTTTGGAACAGGTTATGAAGGGGCCGATAAAGATATAATTACTTGGGGGTAGCTTCCGAAAAAATGTTTAATGCGCTCTGGAATGTCGGACATCGAATGTCGAATCCTTATATATTATTACAAACTTCTCCGTTGCGATCGGCTCTTTGTGATGATTTCCATTTTTCTTTTCTCTATCCTTCATATCAATAATTATGTGTTTTTAATTAGTAAGAACATGCGGCTCTATACGCTTTATTGACATTGTCTCATCTTGAACAATTGAGAAAAATCTAAAGACGCGTAACTTTTTCTACCGAATAAGCCGAATATAATATTAATATATTTTCTCTTTATGTGTGCGCAGAAAATGGTGTCGGCAGCAGTGCTCAGCCTACGATCGTCAAAGCTTCTCGAGATAGGAGAAAATTCAACCAAAAGGTACATGTGCAAATCTCTTTTGTCGTTTTAATGCGCCTGTTTATCGGAAAAAAGCAAGTTTATTCGGAAAAAAATTTTTCTAAAATTTGTGCGCAATTGTATGACGAACTTGGAAGATAATGTACATATGTGATACAAAAGTTAATTGAATTAACGATGCATAACAAAAATTTTAACAATCTTTTATCTTTATGACACTTGAAGAGAGAAATAATCGTTTATATTGTATAATAAACGATTTTACATATCCAGAAATAATAGTTCCATAACGAATGTTATAATATTGCATTAGAGAGGCATATAACGGTGATAAACGCAATTCATTTATACTGATTGTGCAGTTAATAATAATGATATGTTACATTATTGCTGCAGGCAAGTGACTTTACGGATATCGGGGACTGGCCAACCCTAGGAACACAGGGAGAGGTGCGAGTCATTGAATTCCTCTTAATGTACAGACTGTAATGCACTATAAAGCATGCAAAACCTAGAGCTCACAGATCTCTTCATGGATCTGTGGGTGTAGAATTTTTGCTAGAGAAATGTCAAGTGTAATGTAACCACAGACGGAAATGTTCCGTCTGAAGATCGTTCAATACTTGTCCACACGCCTTCCACGCTATCTCAGTTATCTCAATTAATTATCTTAATTCAGAAATCGCACTTACTATACATTTTATCCAATATGAATATTTATATTCATAAATGATGTACTTCCTGCTTTAGAAAAAGGCAACCACGTCACCGCCGAAGCAAAATGGTACCGCTGAGCCGAACAATTCCAAAGAGAGTAGCACCAGCAACGTTGAGAGCAGGGGGAAAGAGAATAAGGAGCAGAACCACTGCCAAGACGATAGTGACGAGCATACGGATAACAATGAAAAGAAAAGGAAAGGTAAGGAGGTCGATCTTTGCACTTGGATTGTGCTAACGACGAGATAACGACAAAATGTATAGTGGTCTCCCTGCAATGGAAACTTTGTTTTCAAATGTTTGAGATGCGAATTCTAATGAGATTCGATTTCTAATAGTTATGCTTCTCCTGACAGTAAATAAGCAAAAATGGGTTCCGCTGGAGATCGACCTGGCAAAAAACCGTGGTAAACGAGAACGCTCGCCGAAGTATCAGAACCAGAGGGAAAGGAACGGTGAAGGTAAAATCGCTCGCGCACAACGATGTCGCTTTAATTCCGGCGACGGAGAATGTGCAGTTTTATAACTGAGAATTGCGATATTAAATACTGTAATTGCGATCCTCGTGTAATAAACAGATGGTGAACAAACGTGGCGCGAGAGGGACTATTATGACCGATCGACGGGGTACAGCAATTATCGGGGTGGTCGCGGTGGTAGAAGTTACAGAGGCCGAGGACGCGGTGGCGGACGTGGTGGCGGTCGAAGTAGTAGCTTCAGACATCGACAAGAGCAAGAGTATCAGAATTATGCTGGCACGGATTACTTGCAGGTATGCTTTACATCTTACTCGATGCAGCATCTTGAGTTAATTGTCTTGCATTACTTTTCTAATATTATTGTCACGGATCAACTGTCTTAGATTGTTATCGCGAAACATGACCATCTCGGTCACAATGATGTTAATATGAATGGGAATATCTCTGACGAATTTGATGGAGATTAAATTGAAAGTAGAACTGATCGTGAAACTCTTGCATGTCTATTATCTAGGAAGTTTTTGTTTTTATACATCTTGATGTTCACTTTTTCTTTCTTCAGGTGCTTAAATACGAACAACCAGATCCTGCCTACATGATGGGGCAATGTTTGGGAACGTTCTATTATAATAATTATATTAATTTAGATACCAACACGTTAAAGGAATATATACGGAAACAGATGTGAGTTCTTATTTTTGTATTATTTTTTTTTTTTACTTGTACTTAATTCAGCGTGTAATACTGAAATAATCGTTTCGTTCTCCTTACTTTATTTGTCACAGAGAGTATTACTTCAGCGAAGAGAATCTTATGAGGGACTTCTACCTTCGTCGCAAAATGGATGTTCAGGGATTTTTACCTATCACTTTGATCGCATCTTTTCATCGTGTACAAACTTTAACAAATGACGTGCGTTTAGTGACAGAGGCAATTATGGAATCTGACCAACTAGAATTGGTGGATGGGTACAAGGTACGATAAAATATACTTCGAGAGGAATTAATTAAATAACATATGACATAATATGACCGGTATAATATATAAATTCTTTCTTTTCAGGTCAGAACAAGGTTTGATCCGTCGAAATGGCCTATCCTAGATAGAGCGGACAAACCATTGTTTTCAGATTCTTCGGAATTATTTATGCCGCCTCAAAGTGAAATAATACCCCATATACTTGAAAGAGAATTTTATCCTGCCGCGAGGCCTTTACCTAGCATACCCGAGCCCATCGTAATGCCATTTATTCTTCAAACTGATCACACTATTCCGATACCAGGAACATGTGACGAATCGGAAAGCGTTTCTTCGTTGATAGGCGAGACTTTAAACCCCGATGTGCCAGAGTTTATACCAACGGAATTGACAGGAAACAGCAATGACTTACCTACAGCTACGAATGAAAGTAATGAAACGAAGAATGAAAAACAGCCAGTAAAAGCGAAAGAGATCGTTTCCGAATCAACAAGTAGCACTCCTACTTCTAATCATAATCTTTGTACGAAGGAAGACAATAAATCATCAGCGATGACATATTCTTCCACTTCAAACTGCTCGCCAGAGGAACATGGAAAATCAAATTCATCAAACGACGATGTTTGGCAAGAGGTAATAAGTTCTTATTATTTCATATATGAGTTTTACATAATTCATTCATGAATTACAATATACAATATATCATTGATAATAATGACTAAATATTTTTAAAAAGTTTTAACCATAAAAAGATGTAAATACACGAAATCCATAAAAATAAATTATTTGGAGGTGAAAAGAAAAGTTAAGCAGCCACACAAAGAGAAATCCGAGGAGAAAAAGAAGACCAATGTTAACAAGGACGAGGAACGGGAGGAACTGGACTTCCAATTCGATGAGGAAATGCCTCTGACTGGTCGAAATAATGCCTTCTCAGAATGGTCAGTAGAAGACGAATCTGTATAAAAAAAAATACCATAGATGTTGGCACTATTGACATTTATCTAATTGTGGATTTGATGGCTTGTACTAATGTGCACTGAGAAGGAACATTTATGAAGATTTTACCTCAGACTTCAATGGAACTTAGCATATTTATAGAGTAGCCAAAAACTATTATAAAAATCTACCGTGACACTAAGAACATTTGACCAAATATAGAATAAAGCTGTACATATGTGATACAAAAGTTCATTGAATTAACGATGCGTAACATGCAAAAATTTCAACAATCTTTACCCTATCGTTTTCCGAGATATTTAATTATAAACTTGTACGTATATTAGTATAGAAATCTCATAAAACGTCAAATTTTTTCTAGTTTGACATATTTGTGTGTAAGATGGAAGTTTAAAAAACTATTGTAATATTAAAGACAATATATATAGTTATACGACTCTACTTAGTTTATTTGGACCAGTGATTGACGTCATTCATGTATGGTGCTGCGTTCGTATAATATCGAAGCAACACGAGAGTATCGAATCAGATTGATCTCCTCAATAAATGATGAATTCTTCAAATCATGATCAATTCCTAAAGGAACATGAATTTTCTCCTCTAGCGTGAACTCGTGGAAAGAATAAATTTTCCAATTTGAAAACATTCGGGATTTTCACGTTTCCGCTTTAGGGAGAAGTTACGTAACCAACACCCAGAACAAAATTAGTATATATGTCCGTTAAAGCTCCAGAATAGTCGCTATGACTGTCCTTGTTTAATGATATCAAAAGTGAGAAAACGCATATCAAGATTTTCTACGTTATACTTTCAAATAAAAAGATAAAAATTAATTTGACACGGAATCTTCTTTTCCAATTTCTCTTCTCATGATTTTATTATTGATCGTTCGAGTAAAAGAAGTGTTCGTCCAATTCTACAAGTTTGCTGAATCGATCACAAATGTTATTTTGTGGATACAGCTATTTTATTTGGAGCTATAACGCAAAAAATGTTTGACGTCATTAAATCCGTCAAACGCTTCGATTATATTGCACAGGTCCGAAGATGATGAAGATTATGAACTGTCGGATAGAGATATTAATAAAATCCTTATCGTCACGCAAACGTCTAGACCTCCGAAGCATGAAGGTTACGACAGAACTGGAGACTGGGTTACGAGAGTAAAAATGAGTCGAGATTTGGAGCGGGCTATTAATGATGGATTATTTTGTTACGAAGAAGATTTGTGGACACAGGATCGTCAAAGGGTAAGTTTTGTTATTTTCCTTGCTATGTTTAAAAGCCAAAGGACAGATGGATCTTACATGAATCGAACTTGTGTTAAAACAGTACGGCTCTTCTTCGTCTATTGGAAGTTATAAGACCATCAATGTGATTAGCCAAGAGGATTTCGAAAAAATGGCACCGAAAGCTCCTAGGAAAGCGAATCCGGAAGTACCGCCGCCACCTCCTTCTATTGCAGACGATTTGGAAATCGTGCAATCGTCATTACAGGTATATTTCGAATTTTGTAAAATTGGTAAATATATTTGAAAACCCCGATTTTTTTAATCACTGGAAATTTTTTAATTTGATTTTTTGCAAAAAAATGCTTTTTTCCTACTTAAGAAAATCATATATTTTCTACTTAAGAAAACATTTCCTACTTAAGAAGATCATATGATTCCACTAAAAATACTAAACTTGAAATAATGTTAAAAAAAGATTAATTATATAATAATATTACTCTTTTTTACTTTCTATGAAATTTCACAGCTTTTGTTTGAAATTTGTCTTCGAATAATTTCTTTCAAAGCAGTAGTCTGTACTTTATCTTCAAAGCGATATTAGTAAATCCTACAGTAAAAAATATCGTTAAACTAAAACATTGGTCTTACAGCTTCCATCTACGAGTCAAGAGTGTCAGGAAAGAAAAGATCGTAGGACAGAGAAGAATCGTTGGAACGAGAAACCAAGGGTAGAAAGAGAAGAGCGAAGAGGGGCTCCTCGTTTCTTCGCCGTTGTGAAAGATGGGCCGTCGGTTGATCCGAGAACACCGCGCAAAAGGAAAACCCGTCACAGCAACAACCCTCCAGTGGAACATCATGTCGGTTGGATCATGGACGTTCGAGAGCACCGCCCCCGAACATACTCCACGGGGTATGTAGCATGTTCACTTGATTCTCATTGAGATATTCGTTGTATTTAATACGATACCGTTATTTTATATTTTAAGATATTTTATGTGATTTGTTATATGTAATAGTTCCTCAATCTGTTTGAAATGTGGTGTATGATGATATACATTCTTATTTGTCTTCTTTTCCCGGCTGAAGGGATTATCTTGTAGAAAAATGGTAAAAACTGAGCAAACCTAGATAATCGAAATGCGAAAGTGCGAGTTTATTCTGTATACTCTAAAATTTGTGCTCTGCCGTTTATTATTTTAGGAGTAGCGCGGGAACCAGTCCTAACGAAGGCTATTTGTCGAGTAGTTACGGCAGCGTGCCACAGGCTCTACCTACGTTCCAACATCCCAGCCACGCTTTGCTGAAGGAAAATGGTTTCACCCAGCAGGTGTATCACAAGTATCATTCGCGTTGCCTAAAAGGTATTACTGACAATATATCAGATATTCCCTTAAGGAGGTTGTAAGCAGTGATGCCAATTACAGCATCGAGCCACAACGCACGCAAGCGTGCGCAGCTTCGGCCGACTCTCCATTTCCGATAGCTATTGTTAACCACGACTATTACTACAGATATTTTGTCGACGAGACTGCAGTATCTGCGAGACTACGATATTGAGTTCCTTACAACCTCTTATCAATTCGATTGATTGAGATGATGAAACTTTCTTTTTTGTCTTCTTTTCCCGGCTGAGAAGAATGCTTGTGCGGAAACGCTTTTATCTGACTATTACTACATAAAGAGATAATCGTTCAGTACTTTATTTCAAGATTTTCACTTATATTCTATATCTGTTCTCAGAACGCAAGCGATTAGGCATTGGGCAGTCACAAGAGATGAACACTCTCTTCCGTTTCTGGTCGTTCTTCCTGCGTGAAAATTTCAATCGTACCATGTACGAAGAATTCAGGACTATTGCCAAAGAGGATGCTTCCGAAGGATACCGATACGGGCTAGAGTGTCTGTTTAGATTTTATAGTTATGGTTTGGAGAAGAAATTCAAACATCAATTGTACAAAGACTTCCAGATGGAAACGATATACGATTATGAAAGTGGTGAGTGGTCGGGATTTAGTTGATGTCCATTTCCCTCGAATCAGCACAAAAATCAGAATAGGTTGTTTGACTATGACCCAGTGATGGTTAAACAGATAAATTTGTGCAAGAGCAAACGTGATGTTTCGCTAACGCCATGAGGACGCTCGTCCTTTGAATGGAGTTTGAAAGTAGCATCACGACAAACAATTGCAGCAAGCAATTTTTCATGTCCTTCGGGCCCCCGTGTATATACTGAGATAGCAATAATATATGGTAAATATTAACGAGTTAAATTGCTCGAATTAACAGGTCAACTGTATGGACTAGAAAAATTCTGGGCATTTTTGAAGTATTACAAGAATTCTGATCAACTTCATGTGGAACCTAAATTGAAGGAGTACCTATCGAAATTCAAGAATATCGAGGACTTCAGGGTAGTGGAAGTAAGTACATTTATGGATAAAAGTATTCTTACGCTTTACTCGTGTAATCGATTGTGAGACTCATTAACCCCCTTGTATGCTCCTCGGACGGTGAGTCAAGATTTAATTTCTGCCGGTTTCTGGAATTAGCACATAATAGGTTGTTTAACTATGACCCGGTGATAGTTAAACGGTAAATTTGTGCCAGAGCAAACGTGATGTTTCGCTAACGCCACGAGGACACTCGTCCTTTGAGTGGAGTTTGAAAGTAGCAGCACGACAAACAATTACAGCGAGCGACTTGGCATCCGTTAAGATTTACTCAGATATTTCGCTTATTTCCAGCTAAGCTGCCAATGTATTCTTGAATATTATATATTCCAAATGATTGGGAAAATAATATTCACCTAATAAAAGTTATAAGTGTAATATTCCCCGTTTGTTACAAAATTAATAAGATAGTCCATATCTCGATAACTGAACCGTGAACAGTGATGTGATTATAATGGGCCCTTCATACGTTTCCAACAAACAACACCCGTCTGGTTTTTTACAGCCACAGATACTTGAGATGCTGCACGTTGCGAAGAAGCGCAACAGAAGCGTATCCGAAAGTGCTAGCGGCGAAGACGTGCGAACGAGCAGAGAACGCCGACTCTCGGGTGGCTCCAGCACCGTCACACTGCCAACCACAAATTCCGAAAGTAGTAACGCGCAAAAGTCACGCATGGAGCTGGCGAATTCGCAGTTCCGCAACAGAGCCAGTTCCTTCGGTTCCGGCAGGCTAACGAGCCATCCTCGACGATGGAACGACCCAACGACGTCGTCGTCGTCGTCGTCGACCAGCCAGCGAGATCTCAACAAGCAACAGCCTCGTAGTAGGCACAATTCCGGTTCCTGCACGAAATCTCACGAAGTGGTGAACAAGTCGCAAGTCACTGCCAGAGATCGTACTCAACTCAACTCCAAGCCTGAAACGAGCAAGTTCGTCACGATGAAGATGGAGAGCGGCTCTACGTCCTCCTCCCAAAAATGAGAAACTCAGTTGCGGTGCGCTGATGATGCGCGCATAAACTCTTCGAGCGACTACGAAGGCGAAAGGAAGTGTTGTATCGTGTCGCCTTCGGCGATGGAACGGTGTTTCACCGTAACGTATACATGTGGAGTGACAGTAATCGATGAATACTACAGTGCTTAACGATGCACCGATAACGGTCTGAAAGAAAAGAGAGAAGAAATGCGAGGATCGCCGATTCTCGGGATCGTCGGGGAAGTCGTCGTCGTGTAAAAGCATTCACGGAATGTACATGCACAACGCTAGATTTATAAATGTAACGTTACTCGTAAAGTAGTATCTAATTTTTACTCAAGTCCTTTTATCCAGCGGTGCATAGCCATCGTTTCACGCGAAATATTTTTACACGCTTCTCTCTTCATTACTTATGACATTTATATTACATTATGAGATGTGACATAACTAAGAATAGGGAATGAAAGAGAGAGACGATGAGTACCGGATACGTGTGTGCATGAAGAAGAAATCTAAATTATGTAAATTTATTCAAACATTTTTGCCCACAAGTTTTATCTTGTGTTTTAACATTTATATATATTTTTTTTCCCCGCAATAAAGGAAACTCTTCATATCTTTACATCAAGAGAATAAGTGCTTTATATGGAAATGTGAAGTGTGTTTATCTGGGATAGAGAGAGAGAGAGAGAGAGAGAGAGAGAGAGAGAGAGAGAGAGAGAGAGAGAGAGAGATTAAACACATGTATTCGGTAAACATCTCACATTAGATCCGCTCGATTCATTCGTTCCTTTTACACTTTCTTCGCTCCTTCATTCTCTCCGGTATTTTAATATACATTTATTACATCTCAAACAAAAAGCGTTATGAGATGCGACTGAAATAAACAGTCCTATCATTATTTGAATATACATACAAAATTGAGAGGTTATTAATGATGGGTTACAGCTGCACAACTATTTAATTTGTGCTATCTTTTGATTATGGAGATCGAAACTAGAATTTTCTTTTGATTATTCAACATTTTTCATTGAAAGATGCACTTCCCTTTTTTTTTCTTTTTGCCTTTTTGTAATAAGAATCTTTCTTTATAGTAAGTACTTTTTTACGCCGTTGAATGTGCGCTTTTTGTTATTCAGTGCACTCGAAGTTTGATAATGTTTTTTAATAATAAGTGCACTCGGTTCATATGATTGGTACGAAATTTATGTCTCCAAAGTTAACAATGATAAAGATTTTTTAGTCAAGTATAGGCATAGTTCTCGACAAGTCTTGTACAATCGTAAAATCATGAATCTATTTATGAACTTAATGGATATAAGGATTTAAGAGATATTTCTTTAAATACAATTATAAATATTATTTAATATGATAATAGTTTGCATATTGATTTCATTAGAACGGACTACTATCAGACTCATATTATCGCTGAGCTTGTAATTTTATTCATTACAAACAATTTTGCCTTGCTAAATAAATGTTAAATCTAATAAGCGTATAATACAAATACTTATAATGCCGTTATTTTAAAGGAAGAATAAGCCTATATACATATGTGTATTATACACTGTCTCTTTGCGCACGTTGCTGTGTAAAAGATAGCCTTAAGTAAGAAACATTAGATGAGAAGGAATTTTCTTCAAGAACTATGCCCATGCTGCTAAAATATATCCATTGCATTAAAAGTAATATTATTCATAACTGAATAGACCGCGCTTTTCTGTGACAGTCATAATAATTTTTACAAAAGATAAGATCGCTTCCTCCACCTCGATAAAAATTCCATTCAAATATGGTAGTAACAGTTGTAAGATGTTTCACGTTGAACGTTTTATAGTCTGTTTTTCAAGATTCCCATATTTTGCGCATAAATATTTTCTACTGATTTTACGTTTGCCATATTTGATTCTCGACCGCGTAAGCGTTTATTTCAAGTTCCTGTGTCCTCGCTATGGCTATTTTCATTTTATGAAATTAGAAAAGCGATAAATCGTATATTAAAATCTATTGCGGTATACGTGGAGATAAAAGAATATTGTTTCAGCATTCAGTACATTTGTAAAAGTGTCTGGACGCTTTTCTCGAATCTCAACAATAATAGCTGAAAATTACTCCTTATCTACAAACTACTTTGCTATGCTTTAAGACGTAAACGATAAGCAAAACGACTAGTTACCATCGTTTATTAGAATTTACAATCGACTGTGGCTGTTCAATTTATTTACGTCTTAAGGCTTTAGAATAATCTGTCCTTGTTTAATGACGTTAGAAGTAGCAACGCATGCCAGTTCACAGCGAGTACTTAAAACATGGTTAGATAAGAACTTAAAACATGGTAGATAAGAACTTAGTGCAAAATGTAACTTACGTTCTTACACTATTCTTTTTTCATGATTCTGTTACGTTATCATTTTATGGCTATTCATTGATTTCTCGGGTAAAAAAAAACATCCGGATATTTTTGCAAGTGTGCTAAACCGAGTGCTATTTTGTGCGATATATTTCTCTTATCTCCACACGTACCGTAATATATTTTGACAGTTTCTCGCTTCTGACGTCATCAAACAAGGACAGCCAAAGCGAGGACACAGCAATCTTAATTCACCTAGAAAGGTTAACGTATTGACGCCTGCTAAAACTTGCGTTCACTCGAAAACATCCGGATTCGAGGTCATCGGCAGAAATCGTAGTATGCTATTGCCTATTCGTTGAACGAATTTACATACGTGAACTTTTTTGCGTGTGTGTATATAGGCGTCGACCGAATGATGGATCTAGCAAAATTCTGCGTCTCGAAATCGAGCGAAAGGAAATCTTTGCACGATCGATTCACACACGTCATTTATTCCGCATCATGCAAAAATCGACGAGTTCGTTGAGCATTTGTAAATAGAAAATAAGCACTGAGCCCCTTGATCGGCGAATCGAGCGAATCGGCGAATTCTATCGGCAGATTTTAGTCCATTATTTTTAAGCAAACCGACAGTCNTTTTTTTTTTTTTTTTTTTTTTTTTTTTTTTAAACCGCATATTCGACAATCCGTTCACCTGCGAAAGCAGCTTTGTTATACCCGTATCCTTCACATTCTGATGTAGTTCTTGACAGACACACGCACTAGTCACGCATCGAGCCAACGTGCTATGTCACACATCATTGAGTTCCCTGTAAAGATAAAGAGAAAGAGGCGAGGATAAGACGATTGGCGGTGAGAGTGAGGAACAGCCGCGACGATTGCTTCATCCGCGCTACGTTACCTGTGATGTGTTACAACGCGGCGGTTACCATCCACTCACATATGTGACGTATAGTCGCGGTATGAAATATTTATTTGTCCGAACAGTGCACGCGCATATTTCGAGACGTCTCGATCACACGACATTTAACGTCTGCGAACGGGCCGAGAGAACGGATCTCTCGCGCGTACATAACTTTAATTGCATGATATAAAACGGACGATAAGACACCTGGTAAATGATTCCGACGCGGATATGTACTTCCGCGTTGTCGAGTGCGGCATGGATTTTCCTCCCTCTTCCCCGGTCCTTCCTTGCTCTCCGTCTTCCCGCTGTTATTACAATAATAACCCCCTTCCTCATGTCGTCACGTGGGACAGGATGAAACTCAAAGCGGAGTCCTTCGCGTTCTTGGATTTAGCAGGAGAGAGAGAAAGAGAGATTACGTAATATCGTTGAGACAGAATTATATTCCGCGTATCATGTCGTCGTCATAGTCGTTCGAGCGCGGATTCAGGCGACGTTCGAACGAAGAGTCTAATTGTTTGTTGAATCGTCCGTTGCAGGCGCGAGATTTTTGATACGCTCTTGTTGATTCTTGCGAGGCGAGGGTCGGCCTAGTCGGCTTTTCGGCGAAAAAAAAAAATAGTGTGCACCTCGCTTTTATTGATAAAGGGGGATAACGCCTAATTGAAATTTCAAGGACGCGCCCGTCGACACGTTTCCGCGAGAGCAACAGTTTTGGAGCGACAACTGATAGTGATTCTTAAACGAAACGTCAATCGAGAGTCTGCCTCCGTTCGAGAACGACTTGTTCGCGAAGACGAAGATAAAACGAGCCTAACGTCGTCGTCGTTATCATCCATCGTCAATCATTATATCATTATCGTCGTCGTATCGCGTGCCGTTGCTCAATTCGCGGCAGCAGAAAGCAATTACCGATGCGTATTCTCATCAATCAAGAAAGAAGATGAAAGAAAGTTATTCTTTTTCGTTTAAATTAGCACACGTCGATATGCTAATATGATATGCACAACGAAGAATCGCATAAATAAGAAAATTCGTCGTATTATCGAGAAGCGATAAAAATTTCTCGTGTTTATCAAATCACTAAAAACGAACGGATCGAAACGTTCTCGAGAAAGGGAAAAAATCCGATCGAGTCGAATGAAGTGAGAGTGAGAGAGAGAGAGAGAAAGCACAAATAATAGCCGATCGTTTTTCAGTCAGTTGCGATATATAGTAATAGATATTGTACAGACGCCGGACAAATGGAAAATAGTGGTGAAATAATCGTGGAAACCTGCTCACACATTGATTACTGTACATACTTTCGTAGTTCGGTTTAGATTAATCGGCGGTATGGCCCGTAGACATGCCGGAATAGTTTTTAAGCGAGTGACAGATTATACTTTATCGGTGCCGATCGTAATAACGAAGTAATTGTCGGCTTAATAATAAGGATTAGTACCGTAAGTTTAAATTGGTTAGTAATTTAGATACGACAGGCTTCTAAATATTTAGACGGGCTTGGTTCCTCGTGGCGTGCCGCGGAAATTGTTGTGAATGTGTGAAAAACGCATGACGAAACGTGTTTTCTGTGACAAAAACATTCACGTTGGGAAGATCCACGATAAATAAAAAGAGAAAAAAATATACAAGAGCGGGCGGAAAAGGAAACTCCGACGGTTCTGAGTTTCTTCAATGTGTGAGAACCGTACTGGTTTCGCTGTGTCCAGATAGCGCAAGACATCCTAAAATCATCCTAAACGTGTCGAAATGTTCCTGAAGAATGTTTCAGGGCGTTCTAAACACATCTAGGATGATCTCAGGACAACCTTGCGTTACCTAGGTAAATGTGTGCGCAAACGTTATTTTCTTTCCGAAAGAAGCGGCCGAAAGAGAGAGATGTAGCATAATGTATATAGTTTTTACCCAAAGTCAGTGAGGCCACGCCACGTGAGATCGACGTCCAAATGTATAAAAAAAAAGGGCAGATTGTATGTATGCATATATATACATATATGTGTGCATAATGTATGTATAATATATGTATATGTATGTATATATTATAAATTCTTACATTGTTACTTATATATTGCTAATAAATCTTAATTTTACACTTAAGGCTTATGCTATAAAGGAAAGAAAAAGCGGGATGGGGTTACTGGTTACTCTAACATACAACTTTAAGAAAATGTATAAAAAAATATTTCATATATAGAGTATATAATGCTAAAGAGAGAGAGAGAGAGAGAGAGAGAGAGAGAGAGAGAGAGAGAGAGTACGAAAATCGATCGATTATATAGCGATGTGAAGGCATGTATGGTGTTTTAAGGAGGGATCGTACTGACAATTTTTATACATTGCTACTCTCAGGCCTCGAAATTCCATTCGGAATCGCTAAACTTCCAGCGCACATTGTGCCTTTGCTTGTGTGAGCTCCACGTGTCTGTAGATCGCGTAGGTAGGTTTTTAACTTGGATTTTCGCCAAACAACAAATTGCAGGAGTTTCAGATTTCATTCAACAAGACTGGTGTGCAGTAAACGAGCTGTGTATAATGAGATTTCGGAGAGATTTCACCTCCGTGTAAAAAGCTTCGGCCAGAGGGGATGGCGTGTCAATCTGGGAAAAATTCGTGTGAACGAACTGTTGTCGATAGGGTCCCTCCTTGAGCGCCACGAGAATGTATGACCTATAACGAGAGGCGTTCTCGGCAGCGAAAGCGCGTGCAAGATTTGTTAGCAAAAAGATCCGCGAGTTGCACGGTCATGGTATCATCAGTCGCGATTCAATCTCACGCAATACGAATCAACGTTACTTGTGTTGCTTATGCACGGAGAAGAAAAAAATAGATTGGTTGAATCAATCCTAGCTAGCCATACTTATTTCCGAATCTTTAATTCGCCACACCCCGGTTCGTGAGATCGTCTCCGACCTTTGTCGCCTTGTCATTTTCATTCTAATTAATATTTTTAAGCTTATTATTTTTTTAAAGCTATTTCTCATTGATATTTGTAACGAATTGGAAATACAAAGTCGTGATAAGATGTTTATGATATTAGTCAGATGACTTTAGGACGAAACTTACTATAATAAAAAAAAGTATATTCGGACGAGAATTCTCAAATAGTTTTGCAAATGCGATTTAAGAGAAAGTAATATTTGTTCGTTGTAGCGGGCACCTGATATTAAAAAAAAAATAGTATACCATGTATATATAAAAATTAGAAAATCGAAAAACGTTCAACTGGACCAGAGTGTGGCGAGCTAGGATTAATGGGTCTTCTCATTTGAAATGCCGTTTTGTAGATGATTATTAGAAGTTTTTTTCGAAAAAAACTAAGACATATAATTTTGAAGTTTTGTACAAATATTTATCTATATCCTAATTATATACAGTAATTTGTACGCATTATTATCTTCAATATTAATAAAGTTATAAATAAATTTAAAGTTATAAGTAATTTTATGCAGTGCTGAGTGAAAGTTTTGCTTACGTAATTACCACGATCCGGACGTTGCAGGCTTCTAAAACAATAACTATAGGGAATAAAAATTGATTTTTTATAAAACAAAAATTGATTTTTATTTTACGAAATGGCACGAAAAGAGAAACATATCGATTTTGGCTAGTTTTTTTCAGCTTTGAGAATCCTTAAAAAGTCGAGATATTCAAGATATTCACTTTTAATCGTAGCAGGGATGATAGCCATAAGTTTATAGTTTATTATTATTAATAATTTGTTCACCCTTTTGGTTTCAGAAACCTACAACGTCCGGAATCGTGACCACCACTTTTCGCGTTTAACGCTAACAAAATTATTTACAACTTTATTAGTATTGAAAATAATCTATAGAGAAATTATTGTGCATAATTAAAGTATAAACAAATGTTTATGCAAAACTTCAGAATTGTATGTCTTGTAACTTTTTCCGAAAAAATTCCTAAAATCACCTACCAAACGAAATGTTCCAGGTGAAAATACCTTCTTAACGTGACAATGAACGTGTTCACCGTCACGTTAATTCAACCAATTCTTTTTTTCCAAATCTTTTTTTCTCCGTATGTAATACGTTTGATCCGTAATATACTAATACGTTATCAATGACGTGATATTATTTTTCATTGTCTCGCTATATTCATTTAGTGGTGCTACGATTTTCGCGCGCGCGCACGGTCGAGTCAACAATCGTCCTTCGCACTACCGAATCCGTTCGTTTTCTTTTGCCACCGCAAATTGTACCATAAATCATTCGTCGTGATCCGCCGAGGGAGAACCTCGAGGTAGAACAAGGTAAAACAAGACGACCAAGCAAGCTCGGCGACTTTCACTTTTGAAAATCATCAATTCCCACCGACGACAAATCGTCGAAGTCCAACGTCTTCCCATACGTCGATTGTTTTGTCTTATCTTGCAAGATATCGAAATTTTCCCATTGACACTTTGACCGCCACACACTGAATTCGAGCCATACCAAATGCTCTTCCGGTCACTTCATGCGACCGTATATCAAGTATGTCGAGTCAGATTACTTAAAATACCATGCCAATGGAAGAATAATTGCATTCAGCCTTATTACTGCATTTACATTGGTTGGTTGGTCTCTTATTTAATCTGAATACTCTTTCGATATAAACCGCAAACCGACATTTTTTCATTCGAAAACATCTATCACAAAAACACAAACTTAACACATAATGATTATATTATTTTTGGACCTTATTTACCAGAATATAACAAAAATGTAGTCTTTAATAATTTTCCTTTTGATACTTATGGTACATATGTTAATGGTCTTTTACCGTTTCTATTCAATATCCTTACAAATATTTAATAAGATATATCATTATAAATAATTATTCTTAATTAGGTGAAGTCTTCACCTACTGACGGATGAGACGGGGTTTCCGCGAAAACTCAAACACGAGCGACGTGGTAGTCAAAGTGTTAACGATCGATTGAAACGACTCGAACTTATCTGTATTTACGAGAGATGCTTTCGTGTAATCGTGATTCACGACTCGTCCGATCTGGGAGCTTCGGGGACGACCTCATCTTGTGGGACGCTTCGCAGATACTCTTTAACGGAATACGCAATAGCTCGGAAAAGCGCGATATATTTCGTTCGGGAGGGGGAGGGGGCGGACATTTGTTTTCGCGTACAATAGTGCCTTCGAGGAGAACAACTTACTTCCGCCGGACCGGTTACCAAAAAAAAAACAAAGAAAAAAATAAAAAAAGGGAGAGAAGAAAAGTTGCATCACTTAGCGCGTCTCCGGAACGAACGAACGAACGAAGAGGAGGAGAGGGGTTTCCCAGCGAACGCGATTTTAAAAGAGGGTTTATACACACACACATATATATATATATATATATTAGAGATCGCTAAAGAGGCGAACGATTACTCGTAGCAGCTGCGCTAGAATGTGTACATCGTATTGTAAACCGGGGGATGTACGAAGCGAGAGCGAAGGTGAGATATTACTGACGATAAAAGGATAAATCATCCACACCTCTGTCCAAGCCTTTTTGTTGAAGATGATATACCGCGTATTTTTTCAAATTCTGATATTACGGAGCCATTTATGTAGAAGGCTGACGATAGGGCGAATTTCTTACGAATATTCTCGTCTCGGCGAAGATCTCTGCGTACACTCTGAGGTAGACGCACGTGTGTGTCTGTGTCGGCCGTATTGTAAATAAATACGAGAAGAAAAAGAAGGATATATATATATATATATAAATATATACAATTATATATATATATATACATATATATATATATACACACACACGCATAGACACATGATAAACTGCGAACGAGTGTCGGCTTATGAAGAATCGCGGGCTGGAGGGAAGAGGTGTCTGAGATTAAACGTGGATCGGGGACCGTCGGGCCCCGCGGCCGAGCGACGATGACCTTATATAATGTGGTAACCGTGTGTGTATCGTGTGGATTGCGAGTCTTGTACGCTTAGCCGACAGTTGTAACGTTTGTGAATACATAAAATAAAAAAGCCAAAAAAACCGAACGTCGAGAGGCTTTCACGTACTTTTGTCCGCCTCTCTTTCTTCTTCGCTAAAACCCGATGTCGGGTTTTTAGCGAAAGACAAAATTCGCGCAGTTGATAAGTAAGGGCATACTGCTCGATGCAACACCCTGTACATGGCGTTGCGTAATTAACGTTTTGCTTTAAAACTTAATATTAATTTGACTTTTAATTAGTTTTAGCTTAGGTAACTTTTAACTTAGTTATAAGTTAAATTTGATTTACTCAATCTTGTAAAAGACGCATCGTGATTAACCGTTTCGTTTGAGCGATATCAGCAGGAAAATATCTCGAAATCTTATCCGTCAATATTGCTAAAAATGCTTGAAATTCCAAGCGTACAATATTTGTCGAGTAATTGTGATTCTTTTATTACTCAAGGAGCTTCGTTAACCGATATTCATGCCGATACCAGCGCGAAACTGGTTCTTCTTGTGGTTCAAAAGGCCGCTTATAACTAACACGGCCTCGGGAATGGGATACAACTTCTTCTCGAACACCGCTCCCACGGTGGTCTCCGAATTGACGAATCCGCGGAAAACAAAGTCGGCGTACGGTATGTCAACTCGATACACTATCGTGCCGATTGACTCGTGAATTCGCGTGTTGGTCTCGATCTCGACCCCGAGTTGCAGCTGCTCGCTCGCCCGCCGATGATAGCAGACGTGGATGCCCGCCTCGCCGAATGTGGCGGATAACGTGGTAGGGCCGGTACTGTGCCGGAATGCGGCGCACATCGTCGTCTGCAGGCCTCCGGCTATCGGAGAACCGCGTAAACACGCGATCTCCGTGCCAAGAGTTATCCTCGGTGTTATGGCTTGCAGATAATGCAAGACCATCGTGCCGTGCTGTCGAAAAAGGTCGGGATTCGCTAGAGTCAGCGCTATCGTGCAATCGTCGGAACGGTACTCCAGGCCAGTACTGAGGGCTTTGTACTTCCTGTCGGTAGTAATAAACTCAAGATACACATCGAATCGAATATTTGATTTGGAAGTCTCGATTCATCTAAAATATCAAATATAAGGCTCCTCCCACACGTACCACAAGAGCTAACGATAACATTGTTGCAACGTTGCTGCAAGCTTCCGTACTATGTGGGAAGTTTTCCAAGAAAATCTTGGTTTTACATAATATTCGAGACGATTCGGGGATCTACATAAGGTTTCAAGATTTGAAAATGTTTAAAATAGAGACTCAGATGCTTATCACTAGTACCCCTTGCTAATCTGTGTTGACAGTTTGAATCTATATCTGCATCCGAGTGTGTGCACAAAGTTGGCGCTCATATTTCCATCAGGTGTAATCTCACCCGAGATAACCGGGTATCTTTCTGATAATCCCACGCGTTTAGTACCGACGTAATTCACACCGAACTTGAGACCGTGCGGTATCACAGAACTAAGAGTCATCCTGCAAATAGCGATAAATTCAGAATTAAACCAATCACTTCAATTATATGATTGAAAATTACCAATAGTTTCAGATATATGCGATCAGTAATATATTTAAATATTTTGAAAATCTTGAAGGTCAATCATAGTCACAACAATAATATTTTTCTTATGTACACTCACATATATAAGTTACTATTCATCTATTATCGATATACAGACATTGCCTTTCGACAATCGAAATTTTCACTAGATTTAACATTTTCAAACTCTGTATGGCTTTCAAGATCCTTACGATTTCAAACAATATTAAAAAGCAATTCGGATCTTTGTGATTGAAATGTGAAAATTTCCAAGATGGAAATTCGAGCATCCAAGCACTACTTGTAAGTGACATTGAAATGTCGACTCAGAGATTTTTTCAGCAGCAAATAAGCTCCTTCGAAGTTTCGCGGATACAGCTGTTTCGTTTTCGCGTGTAAGTCCTCAAAACTGTTAGGATTCCCCGGCTTCCTGTCTATCTCTTCGTAACAGGGCACGCATGGAGAAGATTCTAGGTTGGCGTAGGTTATAAAATGCTCGTTGCGTTTGTTGAATAATGTTTGAACGATACCCATAATGACGAAAATATTGAATTCAAATAACCAATATATCTTAACATATTGCACGTGCCGACTGCATATGTGTATATTCGATACGCGTCTCCCTTCATTCCGTATTTAATTATTCTATACGCGGTAACGCACGGCGGAAGTTCTCGCGATAGCCAATCAACGTGCCATTTTTGCGTAAGAACTAAAAGTTTATTGGCTTACCACGCGAACTTTCGCCGTACGGCAGCGTTGTTGCATCCTGTGTCCACTTGGTCCAAGCACGGAGGCGTGTGATTGGGAGCCTATTGCGCTAGGAACGTTGAAACCGTCCAATCGCAGGCCGCTATGATCGGATATGCGCAACCGAGACGCTCCCGTCCCTAGATTCGCCTCAAACATTGCGAGTATCGATACACTAATATCGATCTTAATACACTAGAATGCAACGGACGAGTAATGCTCGATTGCACATGGTCGATAACGGAGCCAGGGAACAGGTGACGACATCGTTGTCATACTCGTGATTTCATAACACGCCATTTTCTTTGTGTAAAGTGCTGAAGAGGAGGATTTTCACCGTCGTATTTTGTACCGAGTCCGGGTAACGTATACAATGTTTAACGTCTTGGTTGTGCATTGAACGACGCTCACCACTCGTCTATCGTTTATCACGTATTTTACTTCGCAACCGTTCGTGTGAGTAACGTGCTGAATTGCGATTTGGCTCGTGTGTGACAGGTTTCATGAGCATCGCGCAGTTGAAAGGATTCTGTTCTGTTGTGTGACGTATCTCTATCGTGGCTATCTTCTCGCATTTTTCGCGTTATTCGCGTCGTATCGTACAACATATTGACGAACTCCGCTGATTTCCTTCAACTGTGTCGCTTAACAGTAACCGCCAAAACTCATGCTTAAGTAGTCTCTGAAAGAAAAAAGTCTATCATTTATTTATTTATTTTTTTAATGCGTCATACGCACGTCATTGTTGTCCGATGAAGCACTTTTCTTGTCAACTCTGCTGAACGATTCGTACGATCAGTCGCTGTTTCAAAACAGCGAAAAATATTCTTATCTAGTAATTCAGTAGCACTCTTATTTTTATGTATATGATGTGTAAATATGCAAGATGCTAATAGAATATGACTCCATGAATTTGCTTCATTTAAAACGCAAAAAATGTCTGATGCTTATTTTTCGCGAGCATAGAATTGTTTTCTATACTTTGTGATTACTCAATTTTTTATTACTCAAGGTTTTATGCTATATATTAATATTTATATTAATATTATATAATATATTACAAAATTAATAAACTAAGCTTTTACTACAGCAAAAAGCAAATTTGTTTAAAATACTAATCTTTTCTTTAATATCAGAGCAATAATTATATTTAAGACAAGATTCTTGTGTGTAGAAAATTACAAGTTTAATCAAGTTATGATCTCAAATTATAATCATATAATTTGTTGCGGATCATTGAATTACAAAATATAATTTTTTTTTAATATTACGTTTACTTATAATTCCAAATTTTAATTAAATTCAAATTTTACTATTACTTATATAAGAACACTTAAAATCGTAGATAAAATATAGAATATTAGTGATTAGATTTTTATTAGAGCAAAATTTATCGTAAATCTATTGCAGGAAATTCAACTGTGAAAAATCATTAGATTCTGAAATATTCATTAAGTAGTTTTGAAAATAACAAATTTGTATATGTATTCTCATGTCGATTAAAAAGTTCAGAATATAAATTATATATATTACTTAAATTTTTATCTAATATATCACAAATATTTGATTTTTTTTACAGACGAAAATTTGTGAGATTTATATCGATAAAAATCTTTTTGAAGCTAAAGATTTAAAAAATTTAGTTTTATATGTGTTTTTTTATGCATCATTTTATGAATCATAATGAATCGTTTAGTTGAGATTAGAAAAATCTATATTATTCTGTGACTGAAAAGCAGAGATAAAGAATATCTTACATTTGAATTTTAGTACCACTCATTTTATATTTTTATAAATATATATTACCTTATATAAACTATCCTTTTAATATAACTATAAATATA